CCAACCAGATATCTTCCTCCAGCGGGGCAAAGCCCCAGCCGAGACAACCTCTCAGCTCCTGACGGGTCTCCCGGCATGTGTGGTAGTGTAGCGTTGCCCGTTTGTTAAGCTACTGCTCCGGCATTCGCCTGGTGTTGATGGGAGAAACTACCGATCATAGCAGCCCGCCGCTAGAATTCTCCTTCGGACAGCGACTGAATTCGACTTAGCTAACAAGCTAGTGCCGAAAATCCTGCCAGCGTAGGGACTCTAACCTAGGACCACCCGGCCAGAGGGACTGCAGTGACATCAGTTGATGCCCTGATCCACCTCTCCCGGTTTTTAGGATTCGAATTCCAACGGCAGTGGACTTTCGATATTAGCTAGATCGATTGATCTAATTCAGTCTCGGTCTGGAGAAGAATTCTAGGGGCCCATTACTCAGATTGTTTCCCGTTGTTTCTCAAATTAATGGCAGAAGAATGCCGCAGCAGTCTCTTGAGTAACGGACCGCGCGAGATCTTTCCTTCTTCAACACTACCCCTACCTCTCCCCTTACACACTAACACTTACGTAATCTACTGTTCCATACACCCAGGGATACCAGTCGGGAGCTTAGGAGTTGTTCCGGATAGAGCGAAGCCTTGCTAGCGAAGATACCTGAGGAGGAAAACCTCCGCAAAAAAAAGTAGGGCGGCGACGAAAATCACGCACCACCGGGCAAGAAGCTACCCCCAGGATATAACTTGCACTACACTTAAAGGAATAATGCTTGTAGCACTTGTCACTCACGGAAGTTACAATCAGAATGCTTGCACAGAGGTGTGCTAGCAGGCGTTGGCGCGTCAAGAAAACTGAATGAACAATTCTAGCTTACTCTACGTCGATTAACACACAGCGATGAGTCCGGTTGTCGTGCCTATGAGGTCTTCATCATCGTATCACCATCTCTTTATGGTCTAACTTATCTTAGGAATTCTAGGAGTCATTATATTTTATTACACAACTTCCCGTTTCTGAACACCACTTCTTCCTCTTTTAGAAAGTTTAATATTAATAGTAATTTTAAACTTGGTAACTTTCACTTTCTCTTGGAGTTGTTTTGATTCTGCCGAGTCAAATCCTCACGCACAGCATGCAATATTGTTTAACACAGCAATGTTCAAACTGTCTTCAGCAAAACCAGCTTCTTAATCTTATTAATTCAAAAGGATAAATAATTTAAATGGTTCAATTCATTAGTTTGTTATTATAACAGTTTTCCAGGTATAAAACTAGGAATAACTCCAATTATTTTTCCTTATTTTTTAAAAGAATTGTTGAAAGGCATTTTTTGTTTGCGATATATTTCTTGGAATTTTGATCTCCGGCGATAAGAACAAAATGACATACTATTGCGGCGCGTTTATTTGAAATACGCCAGTTTTATTAAAAAGTCAGGAGATTGGGATAAGATAACGTATTTGTTAAAATCACTACTCTTGATTTCGTTCGCCCTGTTCCTAACAAAAATGATTCAGAGTATTCCACTGGATTAACACCATTTTATAAACTCATAAAATTCTGATTGAAAAGAAAACACCCAAAATATCATTGGAAGTTACAGAAAATGCGCATCAAATACAAATTAATCAACTGTATTACCAGAAAATTTCATTCGTGAATCAAAAAAAGTGATAACTAAATATTTCGATAACCAATATCATTAAACGATCATTTTTAAATGCAACAGTAACATTCCATAACAACGAAACATTTTACCCACAGATTTCCCAAATTCTATCAAGAGGAACACTTTTTTTCGGGAATAAAAATAAATGAACTATTCATATTACCAAGACGAATTAGATAAATGGAGAATTGACTCACCCTTATAACCTCCGGACAAGCATAATGGGGTGATCCACAACTTGTTTCTAACATACTGCCTGCTGGCTGAAGAGAGGCCATACCAAAATCTGCAATCTTGATGTTGTTCTTCTCATCCAACAATAAATTTTCTGGCTTGAGATCACGGTGACTGAAATAAAAGAGAGTAATAATTACAATTTATGGTGATTTAAAATATTATGTTTCTCAGCTGTAATAAAATGAATAAAAACTCCATTTCCACATTCTTAAAAACTGGCATTAAATTACAAGTTGTCTGTATAATGCAATCACCTAAAAACATACATTTATGTAAAAATATACTTTAAGTGTGCGTTTACTGTAAATAATGTTCAAGTATAATACATGTTATTAATGCTCAAACTTCTGCAATGCATCTAATAGAAAAGTTATGATGAACACACCCTTTAGAAACAAAGAATATTAACCTAAAGTTGAACTTACTATGACCTCCCTATGTAGATTTAATTGGTAACGCATTTGTAGTATTGTAGTATTACATTTAGTAGATTTGTAGTATGTATCTATTACATTTAATCCTTAATTATTTACATCATAAAATAAATAAAATGTTATTTCGACATGTTACTCAAACTGTTTGCCTTATTTAGGACCATTCAAATGACCCAAAGAATGAAAAGAATTCTGTAAGCAAAAATTAAACACTTCAAACATTCAACATAGGACTCATTAAAAGGAATTTACCAGATTGAGTGGCTATGACAGAAGTCGAGAGCAGAGATGATTTGTCTGAAGAAACGCCGAGCCTCCTTCGGTGTTAAACGTCCCTTCTTGACGAGGTAGTCAAACAGCTCTCCACCTGACACATGCTCTAGCACAAGGTACCTGAAGACAGAAAAAATTCACATGAAGAGGGGAAAAGTTTGTGTGATTATCAATGAAATAACAATTAGAATGTCAGGATATCTTACAAGTATTTCTTATTCTCATAAACATCCGATAATCCAAGAACATGGGGATGATCAATTAATTTCATTATAGCAATCTCACGTTCCACCTGAAACAAAGTATTATCATGAAATAAAAGTACATTTCTAGTTTATGTTCAAATACACGTTTAGAATACATGTTCATATTAATTTACATACCAATGATTTGGTGATTAAACAAATAAAATTTAACAGTAATGGCAAATATAGAGAGAATATAATTTTTTGCAAAGAAACATAGAATAAATTATAATTTTTAATTTTCCTTCTGACCTTAGATAAACACTCTAAACAGTTAGTAATTCAAATAAATGAGAAACGACAGAGAAAAATATTTCGAATTGACAGGAAAACCGTGGATATCCTAAATCTACATTTACGTGCAAGATAAACAACAGTGTGTATTAATAATAGTACAAAATCACATAATAAGTGTTCCTCCACAATTCTGTCGATAATTAATCAGCAATAACGGATTCAGAGCATGTCAATATTGTCAAATATCTGGCTCGCTGAAGTACTCCATAAACTGTTCTCACTAAACATTTCAAAGAATGTTATTCTTCAGTCTCCGTTACAAGTGAAAACATCGCTCCTACAAACCGAGTATCGGGGTCAATATTCCTGCGTCAGGTATTGACCGAAGGCGTCCGGGCTTTTCTTGTGTGTGATTTGCCTGCCCGTGAGGCGGTTTGCCTGCAAAGCTGATGGAACTGCAGAAACAACTACATAAATTTCCAACAGAATGTGCTAATGGTCATTAAATTGAAATTCAGTTCTTCCGACAAAGTTTTATCGGGTTCTGTAGTTTACTCGTAGGTCATGAGCGATTGTTTTACCTCGAATATGAGTCACGGAACAACTTTTCTAGACGTGACCTTTTGTCACAGCAGTTCATAGAGAAGATAGGCTTTATGTACTATGTGAGAAACAGTTGTGACAATTTCCTCAGCATTTAGAGAGAAGCATCTCTAACTAGAGAAGAATAAAATACTAATACGATTATATCAAGTATTTGTAAAATCAGGAAACCGTCTGGGTGTATGAGCTATTTTTACTTTCTCGCACACTACTTACGCAGTATAGTGAAAGTTATGGCATGCTGCAGCAACAAACAGCAATTGTTGGGCAGAAGAATCCGTGTTGTAGGTCCCAGATACCAAAAAAATGGAAACTACTTGACTTGTAAGTGTTGTAGAAGGCTTCCTCTAACAAGTTGTGTAGACGGACACGTTTTGTGGGTCCTTGATACCGACAATTTGGTTTATGGCAGAAAGACTGCGCGTCTACGAACAAGGCTAGCGACTAACCCGAACTAAGACGGATCTTGACCAAAATTGGTATTTCCCTTATTGATCTGGCTGACACCTTGAATTTCAAACAGATATTTTGATTAGGAATAATTTGTACGAAACCTCAATGACATTTTCACAAAATTACACGAAGTGTTTTCTTTGTTCCCTTCAAATAGACCTTGCAACGTTTATAAAAATGACGCAGATCCGATTTTCTTAGATCTCTTTGAATTTTCGAAAATTGCAAACGTTACAATTAATGCGAGACAGTACGTGTACTTTTAACACAAGAAGTTCTTTTCGGTAAACAAAAGTTGACTTTCCTGTACGTTGCAAATACGTTGCAAAGGTAGGATTAAAACATTCGTACGGAATAAGTAAGATGATTCCTTAATTTTACAATCAATAGAAATATTGACATTTTCGTCTTTCATTTTGTGAAATATTCATATCTTTAAAATATTTTAGGGATAACATTCCTTTAAATATAAATTAGTCAAAATACATTCCTAATTGATTGTGGATTCACATCAATTAACAACGGATTGGAGCAAACAAATTATTCATGCAGAAGCAAAATAAAATATTCAAACTCTATTCACATGGTCATATGATTGATTAAAATTGCATTGCAAATTATTATTCGATATTTTTGTGCATTGCTAATTCATCAGCGTAGAAATGAATACCTTCTAATTTCTAGTACTACGTTTACGTTACAAACAAAGGAAATTATTTATATTACTAGTTTCCAAAACATGCAGACATTGAAAGAAAACTATGCAGCCTCCAGTAATGTGAAGTATTTATGGTTTTGTTTGACAGCCAGAAATTCTGGAAAAATCAAAAAACCCTGAAATAGTTTCGATTTTAACTGAAAAATGCAAATATGTGACTGTTATCTTCCGCGAATTACCTTGAACCGCTTACTAATGGAATCCTCATATTTAATGCTTACGAGACAACTGGCGACTAGCCACTAATGCGATAAGACTTCCCGGAACAGGATATTAGTCATTAAAGATTTAGTAATCACGTATTGCGTTCTGAAACTGCAACTTTTATTTTGTTGCCTTACTATGAATTAACACAGTAAAGAGAAAGTATTGTAATGCCGCAGCAAAAAACGGCGATTTTTCGACATAAAAACTCGTATTGTTGGACGTATTGAAAATAGTGGGCACATCTTGTTCCTATAAGTAATAAATTACTTCTTTTAACGCGTTATATAGTTCAACTTCTAGTTTTGAAGGTTCAAATATTTAAAAAAATTGTTGAAGACATCTGTCCAACTGTGCGCTCAGCGCTTGCGTCTCAGCCGTCCTGATATTGTTTTCCAAAATTTATATTCCCCGCTCGATCTGAGTTTGAAACGGATATTTTGATATTTTGATTTTTGGGGTTACTTTGCATGAATCGCCAGCAACATTTTCAACATTTTCTCACTAAGGGCTCCAATGTTTTTGGTTACACTTTTTTTTGGGATATCACTAAGGTCGCTTAAAATTGCATCTGTCTTATTTTCGTAGAAATCTTTCAAAATTTCGAAAATTACAAAAGTTAATAAATTTTTCGTCATCTTCCTACAACTACAATATTAAAGGTGGAGATTTTTCCTAAGTAATGAGTTCTGTGTTCATTGGAAATTAGTAGTAAAGATGTTATTGCAGTATTTGTGAGGTCTGTTTTTCTTAAAATATTTAATTTACGGCAATGTTATACGAGAATATATTATTTGTTGTTGTGAATTGTGTGTGGTACGTTTTGAAAAAGCATTTTGAGTGGTTTTTATTCATCATATTGTTGCTGCTTTAGGCCACTTGTATTAATTGAATTACTCAACTACCTTTTCTAAATATCTCTTTAACAAATAATCTAAAAAGCTTGAAACAAATAACACAGCAATTGCCTAATCATCAGCTATCTATTCTACACGATAAATGAACTTTTTATGGGATATTTAGCCCCTAATTTATGTTTATCAATAGTGAACTTTTACATCTCAATGACAAGAATGAATTAACATCTTTTATATTAAATACTTCATCCTCCAATCTCAAACACTCAAACATTTTTACTCAAAATGACGAATTCTCATAAAACGTAGATCAGAGTTTTAGGTGCAATTTTTAGCCAGCAAAATAGTCGAAATGACATCATGTTCTTCTTATCATCCGCCCTAATTTGATCCTGTCTCTTAGCTAGTCACCTCTAACGATTTCGCGGGTAATGTTATCTCATTCATGCATACAGCGACCTTATGCAAAATAAAAGTACTTTCCTGAAAACAAAATACAATGGCACATTTGTAGTAATCTCCGCCACTTAACCATTCTACACACCATTCACTTCTATCGCAATGACAACAGCCCCACTTTAAAATCTACTAAATAACAAATGTGCCATTCCCGATATCTGTAAGTGGCTCACCACCTCCTATACGTGCCCCGATATACTCGTAGTGATTGAAGAACAATACCTTTAAGAGCCCCAAGGCTATCCTCGGAGACTGTTACGTGGTAGGTTTTTAGCAGAGGGATTCAAAGTAGTTATTCACGTTTGTTATTTCAATTAGCGTGTGTGTGAGGTGCGGGAAGGCGATCCAAAAGACCAGTTTCACTATTCTTCTTTATCGCGGAATTATATTCATTCGGGCTTGGCGAATGAAAGAGAAAAATTTTGAGAGCAGTGAATATTTATGAAAAGTTAAACAGTTTTTAAAACGTTCCAACTCTTTTTGAGATTTCAAGTTCAGTTAAAAAGTCTGTCCCAAGTGAATTATGTACAAATATTTGCAATATGTGATTTAGGTTGATTGATTATTTTGTGGTTCTGGGAGAAACATCTGATATGGGACTTAGTCCCGTAAGTGTAGTGCACGTTATAGAGCGAGAGGTGGTGGTGTTTCTTTCCCGATGGGACGTAAGATCCACCGCCTGCCTTTATGTCTGATTATCATTTCTAACAGGACACTGACACATATCTTCACCAGAAGGTCACTGCACCAGATATCTTCACCTCTATATATCTTCGCCAGCAGGTTACCCCCACAGATATTTTCACCTCCAGATATCTTCGCCAACAGGTCACCGTCCCACACGGGTAAAGCTCAGATCTTCCGAGTGCCTGTCATTATGTTTGTGCTTTACGGAAGAGGAGGACATGAGGATAAAGAAAATATCGCACGGTGTCCGCGACCCGTTTTATTGGGGTACTGTTATCTCATTCACCTTGTATTGGTCTAAGAAACCATGGAAAACTACCGCTCAGAGCAGCCAGCCGTTAGAATTCTCTTCCAAATAGCGCATGAAATCGAACTAGCTATTCAGCTAAAGTCAAAATTTCGTCAAAGTAGAGACTTGAATTCTAGAACATTTCGGTCAGAATCTCTACAGTGGCAATAGTTGTTGCCCTGAGACAACTCAACGGATTGTATGGTCTACGGTCTGTCCGCATTCTGTCCGCAAGTATAAAGTAAAAATCTCTGAAATAGTAACTTGAAACAGTTGCTGAAAATCTATTTACTATCTCAGCGTATGTATCCAAATTATTTTGAAACTTAAATGAGACTAGCTTGAAATGAAGAACTTTTTAATTGAAAATGTTTAAATATAGTTATTTTCATTATCTTCTCACATTTAATCATACTTTCATTTTTAAAACGATAAACATTTTGTTTCTTTCAATCTGATCAGTTTCATTGGGAGAAAATGTACGTATTTAAATAGTTTTATACATTACAACTGTCTCAACCGTTATGTACCCCCTTGACC